AAAAAAAAACAGTCAGATAAAAACACACCTTTGACTTCTCCTCCAAAACGAATTAGAGGTGGGTCGCTAGTTCCGATTAACTCGAGTTCAGCTTTTTTGATTATTTGAAGTTCAGCACTCCATACATTGTCCCCTTGAATGTGATTAATTTTGAACTGAGACATTTTAAAAAATAGCATCATTCATCACTTACAACTTTTTTTTTATAAAGTTTTCAAGTGATTGGAAATATGTGAGTGATGCGTGACACTGATAGCTTAGCACTATCGTTGCAACAAAGCATATGCAATGTTCTCACCCAAATCGGTTTCCAATGATGTCGAATTGACGATTGCGTTAAACTGTAGAGGCCTGCCAATGCCTTCAGTTCTGCCTCGCACAAATTTGAACCGAAGGTCAAAAGAATGCTAAATACAGTTTTAAAGTGGAAAAATCGCTTCGTTATGATTCGATTGGACCACCTTCGTTTCCGAATTCATAGGATTGCCAAGTCGTACCACAACCACGTTTTTACCAACTGTTTCCCAGCCTAATTTTGTTTTCCCTACAAAAAGAAACGAGATAGAATTTTGCAGTAAATCAATTTGAAAAAAAAAAACCCAAAATATACTGACCAACTATCATAGGGAGTTCTAGCTCTTCTGGGTCGTAGGTTAGATAAAGGGCGGCCTGATAAGCTTTTTCCTTTTGATTTTCAACAGTGAAAGTAATGTCAAGGTAATCTTTATCACCGACATTCGAAACGTAGCCTTTTTCAGTCCTGGAAATGCTCTGACGGTGCAAAGAAAAAGTAGTGAGTGGCTTAGAGAAAAGGTAGACTTACTTTGGAATATCTACAAAAACAGCTTTAAGACTAAGGTCTGTTTGGCATACATGATCTTCTCCGCATCTTGTGTTGAAAGGTACCTAAGAAAATGATACATTCTTCATTATTCGCTTTTTACTGTTTCACACCTGGAACTCATAGCTGGCGCCGTATTTGTTCAGTATTGGATACTGCGTGAGATCAACAATTGGCCGACCCTCGTTAGGATGCACCGGCTTTCGCTCGTTTTTGATTTGTACAGTAAAGCGAAAGCTAAGTGGGTTAATCCAGTCCTTGGCCAGTTCATCATGCTCCTGTAACAGGAAAAGAATGCTACAAAATCGGACCAAAGATGAATGACAAGAAGTGAGAAATTAAACATACCGGTATGTATATAATTTCTGTGTACTTCTGAGGCTTGCGATGGACACCTTGGCCACAAGACCAAGTATGATTTGTTGATGCCGATGCATCGATGTGAGCTCGGAGCGGCACTCCTTGATTGACAGGAATAACCTAAACGACTCTCATTTGTAATGTCAGGTAGACAGCATTCTTAAAAAAAGGATCTGATTAGCAAGAAAAAAAAAACGAAAATCACACATAAAACAGCACCAACAAACCTCTAAATTGCAGATGAATACATTAGAATTGAAGTCGACCAAATCAGCACCTCTGGACGAATCTTTATCAACACTAATCTCCAAATCAAGAGGAAAACTGAAAAGATGGCGCATATTGTAAAACAATCAAATGGAAACTTATCATATTGAATAAAATATAAAGCTGACCATGTCCTGGCTCCTCGTGGACAATTCTTGCCCTTTTCTATATCGATGAATTTGCTGCTTGTCTTATGACGTGCAGAGATGCTAATGACAGGACGAGAGCTGAAACCATGAATTGAACGAATTTGGCAACGATGGCGTAATACCATAACATACCGCAAAATTGTGACTACTCCCTCAGTAACTGCACCCACAACGAGGTCAGGATATCCATTGCCATCAAGGTCTGATCCTCCCGATAACGAAAATCCGAATGATTTTAATGGACGACGAAGGTTTGGTAAATCGGAACCAAGAATAATCTGCAAAGAACTATCTAGACATCATTCGTGGCATCTGGGGTTTCCAAGACGTCTCATAATGTTTCTTGTCATTATGGTATCTTCTAATGATAATAATTGGAGTCACATTGTGATTTTACCTGTGAGGGAACTTTGCGAAATTCTTTCCTCGATTTAGCACCAAGATACACATAAACTGCTCCTATTCCTTTATTGGCAAAAGGAGCACCAACAGCGAAGTCTAAATGTACAGGATTTGAAAAAAACAGAACATATAGGCGAAGGTTGTTCAGATCTACCATTAAAACCATCTTTGTCGCCATCAACGTTGCCTAGTTTGCTTATAGCAAGACCAAATTGCGAAAAAGGTCCAGGCATTTTCAAAATGATAGGAGGATAGAATATCTTGTGTGACTCGAACTAAAAAGAAGGAAATTGATGAATGTGTAAACACAATTGAAATTTGCTTCAAAAAAATTGAAAAGAACATAGATTATAGCATCACCTTTTTTCGTTCTACTCCCTGCGAATAATAAACATAAACAACACCACCAAAATGCCCACTGGAATCAGAGCGGTGCTCGAATGGTGCACCAACAATCAGATCATCAAAACTAGAGCACAGTAGATTTCTAGCAAAAATGCATGACATCATACACAATACATACCCATCATTATTTAAATCTACAACTTCCACTGCGTAACCAAAAGCCGACCCCATCTTGGTGCCATTTATGAGAAATCGGTCCTCAGTGAAAGTCAACAGATCACCGCGATCCTGCAAATTTTTTCTCTAAGATGAACAACAAAAAAATTTAAATTGTCGACTTGCATACCGTGGTGAACGGAAGGAATATCACAGCTCCATGCTGTCCAAAACGAGTAGCACCAGATACTATAGTAGATTTCTTGCCTTTTTCATACCT